GCTGGCCATATACTTGGTATTAGGCTTGACTCTCCTCTCATTGATGATGACCTTGTCCAACTTCTTGTCTTTGCGCTTGGAGGCGTCGATGCCAGGCTTGTGGGTTACGGTTTTGGCACCAATGTTACGCTTTTTCTCAGCCTTTGACATGCCTTCTCCGGTCCAGGCACCCCAGCCAGGAAGTATGGAAGTGGTTTCAGTCGTCTCTTCCTCAGCAATGGTGGCCTTCTTCTCAGCATCAAACTCAGCGACTACATCATCACCCGCAAAGCCTTTGGCTGTGAGAGCCTGGTTGCGCATGACAATGTCAAGGTCAATGCCCTCATTTTCAATGTCTTCATCGTCCTGATCTTCATCGTCGTCTTGGCCACCCAACACGGTCGCCCAACCATCGTCATCAGTGGCAGTAACGCGCTGCTTGAGGAAATCGTCCACTTTGGTTTCTTGAGTCTTCTCAGCAGGTTTTGACTTTTTCTGTACCTTTGCTTTTGCGACTGATTTTGGCGCAACAACGGCTTGTTGTTGAACGACAGGCTTCGAGACTTCTGTGACAGGGAAAATTTCGGGTTCCTTTGGCGCCTTCTTTCCCTTCTTCGCCTTGACTAAGAAGGGGTTGGAAGAGCCACTCTCATTCTCTGTTGTTTGGGCTGGCACAGCCTTACGTTCCTTGCGCGTACCGTTAGAGAGACTACTGATGCCATTTTTCTTTGGCGTGGAAGACTTGTTCGAGGATGACTCTGGTACAGAATCTTCGTCTCTTGCAGCAGGCTGCTCATCGTCTGATCCAGCATGCTCTTCAAACTCGCTGCGGCCGATTTGTATTGCTGGAGCGGCGACATTGCCATTAGGTCCATATCTCCGTCGTCCAGCTTTGGTTGCATTCTCGTCAATCTCGTCTTCATCACTGTCTTCGCCAGCAAGCTCTCGGCGGATGCGCTCAACAGCGTCGTCATTCTCCGCACGTCTGGCAGCTTCTGACCTTTGCATAAAAGCCATCGCTCCCAACTTGGACTTGCCAGTTGAAAATGGGTTCTCCTTGAGCTTGCCAAGAGACTTTTGAAGTGCATCTTCATCAGAATGCTCGTCATCTTCGCTTTCTTCATCGCTCGGTACATCAGAGCCCTCTTCGTCGTCGCGGATAGTCTTGCCCTCAACGCGGCGACGAAGCTCCTCGTTGCGCCTAGCCATTTCTGTCACGCCATCAAGCGCGCCCTGGTCCCATGCTGCTCGTCCTGTAGCCTTGATGCCCTTGGCCCATTTGCTTTCGCGATGTTTGGCGCCCATGCGCTCCTCAGCGCGTCGACGATCGTTGTACTCGCGCTCTTCCTCGGAAAGATCAACACCGTCGGCCTTGAGTTGCTCTCGCTCCTTCTCCAGCATCTTCTCGCGCTCCTTTCGGTGCACGCGGCGGTAAGCCTTGCTCTTGATTTTTTTGATGCGCTTAGCGCGAACTTCCTCGCGGAAGAGTAGCTCGCGCTGCATGCGCAGTTCAGCACGTCGCTTGAGGACTTCTTCCATGGGGAGTTTATTGGTTTGGAGCTCTTCCCACTTCTGCAACTTTTCCTCGTCCTCCTTGCCGTTAGACAAACCACTTTGCTGGAGAATAGACTGGATGGTGCTTTCGAGGTCGTTTGCAGGAGCAGCGGTTGTGGTAGGCTGGAGAGTCTTCTCTCCCGTAGGTTCGCCCCCACTAGCATTTTGTAGAGGGAACATGAGATGCTCAGCGCGTCGGTTGCGCTTGATCGTGTCAGTCCACCTTTCGAGGGTTTCATTTGCTTTAGCATTGGCAGCGGCACGATCAAGCTTATCTTGTGCACGCTTTGGTAGGGGTGCATCTAGCTTCCGTGCAATGTCGTTACGTTTCGATGACTTGTCGTCTTCGAGTAGTTTGAGCGCTTTCTTCTTCTCTGCGTCTGCGGCCTTGGGTTTGAGACTGAGTAGATCTACCTTTCTTGCAACACCGAATTCATCTGGTGCAGCAGACTCGTGAACCTCGACTCTCTTGCCCTTGTGCTTACCATCCTCTTTGGATGCCAGGGATGAGATCAAGTCTTGTAGTTGTGCCTGTCGATCGTCGGCGTCATCGCTCTCGTCGTCAGAGAACGACTCAAAATCACCGTTTGATCCCATGACATCGTCGTCGCTTGGCTCGTCATCGCTGTCGCCAGGTTCTGAAATGCGCTTCTTCTGCTTGTTCTTTTCTCTCCGCTCCTCGGCTTCATCTTCCTCATACTGATCCAGCGCAGTTGCCAAGTCAATAGCATCTTCACCCAGGTCGTCTTCGTCGTAGTCCTCCTCACCGTCCGCACTGTCGCCCTCGTCCAGGTCGATGTCGCCATCCTCATCTTCCAGATCCTGCTGTCTCTTAGACTTTTTCGGCTTGTTCTTCTGGCTCTTTGAGCTGCCCCGGAATGTGTAACCCTCGAACCTTTCTTCGTCGCTATCACCAAAGGCTTCGTCAGAGTCTATACTGTCATCGCTGTCGTCATTGTCAACGTGGCCCATTTGCCAGGTATTGCCCTCAGAGTCGCTGCCTTCGTCGTAACTCTCGTCGCCCGTTCTCCTCTTTCGCCTCTTGGGGCCCTCATCTTCGTCCTCGTCCTCATCTTCCTCGTCGTCGTCATCGTCGTCGCGCGCTCGCTTCCGGTTGAAGGCGGGATCGAATTCGCCCAGGCGGTTCTTGCGAATCTTGGGGCTATCCAGATTCTCGTGCTCGGCTATGGCAAAGGCGTCAAGGGCGCGCTTCTGCGACTTCTTGGGGTTTCGCGCATTGGAGCGACCTTTTGAAGAAGAGCCACCGCTCTGAATCGAGCTTCTTGCAATGCGAGGCGGCATCTTGGTATTGTGGTGGTGGTGAAGGTCGCTGGGGCGGGCAAATTCAAAAGTCGAAATCTTGGCTGCACTTTTTTCGAGTCGTGGTCCGTGCCACCTCCGCGCGAACTCCGCAGCGTCCATCAACCTCTGCGCATACCGACGTCGCTGTGGTATTGCTCGCTTCATCACACGCCGACGAGCGGACCGCCGCAATGTTCAAGCCCACGCCCTCTCTGCAGAAGATGCTGCGGCGTCTGCCGCTCTCCCCAAAACAGGCCGGCAAGGAATACTACAAGGGAAACCGCGTGGGGTCCATGGGCACAATCAACAAATACGGCAACTTCACACCAGACTGGAGCAAGATACGGACATATGTGTACCCGATACATGGCACCAAGAATAGCGAGGTATGTGCGAAATGGCGCGGGATTGTGTCCTGGTAATGCGCCGAGGACAGTAGGCTAATAATGAATAGTTGACGCCCTTTGTGGATGCAAGTCTAGAGAAAGTACGAGACTTGGACTCGGGCACCGCGCAAAATTACCCCAAGCACTTCACCGGCGAAGACTATCTGAGAGCTTGGAAGATGTCGGGTGGACATGATATTGTGGAGACTGCAGATGGCGCATCGGATTCGAGCCGAAACATGCCAACACCTTTCGAGGAACGACCTGCGACAAAATCATGACAGGCATCAAGCGGATAGCTGGGAACAAATTTTGCATTGACGGCATTGCTGGGAAGGGGCTGAGCATATCTGGTGATTGTGTGGGGAGGCAGGGTTGGGCGTTCAGCTCACCAGTCCATATGAAAATATCGAAGGAAGGCCTCCTAGGAAACGCTTGAAAGGGCGTCGCATGTATTGTACACTACTTTTTGGGTATCATGCTCCCACTGAACCTATACCAATAACATGAACCACACATTTACAATCCACATCTCAAGCCTCTTTCCTCACACCAAAAAAGTAATTTCCCCATTGCTCGCTTCCTCGGACTTCCTTCCACCCTAGCCCAGGCACATACATGACGCCCATGCTCTTCACATTGCCCCATCCTGGCTGCTTTGCAAACCAGTTCCTCAGCTCCTCCTCATTAACATATTTACTCCACTCATGCGTTCCCTTGGGTACCATGCCCAGCACATCCTCCGCAATCACATTCGTGACCAGCCAGCTCGTCCATGTCCTCGCTATCGTGCTCATTATGAGCCACCCACCAGGCTTTACATGCGGTAACACATGTTCTAGAAACGGGCCTGGCGCGTTGACGTGCTCAATAACTTCGAAAAGAGAGACAATATCGAACGCCTCTGTATCCGAATTTGGGCGAGGGAAGTCTTCGATAGAAGTGTTCAGATATGTGAGTTTGCCAGGCGATGTCAGCACAGGGTCGCGGCGCTTGTGCGCCTCGGCAATAGTGAGGACCTGAGGCGTGGGGTCGATCGCCGTGACAGACGTGGTGGTTGGGAGCCGTGCAGCTGATTCGGCGAAGATTCCACCGCCACAACCAATGTCTAAGTAGCGGAGCTTCTGGCCTGGTGTGGGAGGGGCTGTGGTGGAGCGACATCGCGTTATGAATTCGTGGCGAAGAGGATTCATCAAGTGCAGGGGCCGTGAAGGGCCATGGGGATCCCACCATGATGACGCGAGCGCATTGAAGTGGGAAACCTCGGTTGGATCGACGGTGGAATTGGGTGTAGGGTTGTGGTGTTTTGGAGGTGTGGTCGTTATACTTCGCGATGCCAACGCGGGAAGTCTGTGTAATGGCATAGGTCTTTGGAATAGACGAAAGCTTGGCGATTGTGAGACATGGGTTCGAATTGAGTCTATTGCTCTCGTGGGATTTGGTGGCTTCATTGTTGCTGTGTGGGTTTGCAGCGTTTCTTTCGGTGCATAGACGACTCGCTATTGACGTTGATGTCACCAAAAGTTTTGGGGACGTGCACGAACATCGATCGCCATGCACCTCAGCCTCGGCCCCGCGTTATGCGTCCACAGTGCCACTCCTTTCACCTATGTATACTGAATTGAAACATAAATCAATCGACTTGAAATTTCCCACGGCTTGCTTTGGCTTTCTTATCCCCCTTGTTGCTTCAATGCGTGATATCTGGATTGATGGCAGGCATGCGAATAGCATCGATAATGGCCATCTCTGGACCACCTCAAATTATGGACTGTTATCATGCGTCGACATAGAACTCAGTACTTCAGCTTATTGTCTAATCTCAGTACAATTAGCAACGCGCAAGTGAAGGTGAAGGTAGGGGTGACGCTAGAAATTTAAATAAGATCCTCTCTCACTTAGCCCCTGTTGTTTCTGGACTCACACCAAACTTCTCAAAATATTATTGCTACTGTCTAACGATAGACTATTTACATTTAGGATACGACAGATCACCACCAAGGGATCACAACTGTTCAAGGAATTAACATAGCCCGCTATAAGCCGGTCAGTCGCAAACCTGTCATACAACAGACAGTTCGCACCGACCGATCGGACGTCGAACGTAATGGTAAGGTGGCTAGACTAAAACTTTAGAGAAAGACCGCATACTATAAGAACATGCTACTGACTGGCAACAAATATATATCCGAAAATGTAGAGAAAAAGCTAGATAGTGAAGCTAGCGATGATTCGGCCGTTGGCTCCACCTTGGACAAGCACCCTCAGGTTCCCAAACGCTTGAGGGAACCAGATTCTATGGAGCAGACTGTCAGGAATAAGGTACTTAAGCCTTCAGGCCGTGAAAAAGTCACTTCTCCTCAAAGGTCAGCATTGTTTGTTGCCGGTACACCATATATCGTCGGCACAGACGGCATACCCACACTGCCTAGCAACTGGCGCAGGTTCCTCTTCAAACCTTTCAGACGTTTCGCGTTCGATGCCTATAAGGCGTGGCTGAGAGTAGCTCTCATGCCTGGCGTCCAACCGAACACGACGGCCTACGCTTTAGCTGGTTTCTTTACCCTTGCGTGCAAAACTCAACTTGATCAGCAGCTTGTGGATAAGGTCTGCCAGACTATTCACCGCAGCATATGAATAGTTTCGAAGATAGACGAAAACGTGGAAGAGTTGGTGTTGGATGTGCAGTTTGAAGCCATCGAGAGCTTGACAGAGCAGGTCGAAGGGTTGAAGGGGAAACTGAATAGGGGATGCCGAATGACTTCAAGCATCGCATCATGGAATCATGGAATTTGGTGGAGTATAAGCAGGACGATGTAGTGGGACCTGAGCGAGCTATGGTTTCTTGAGTGTCAGAGGAGCGTATTCATAGCAGGAATGCATGTAGATGTTCCCTCAATCAAAATTTTGTATGAAAGCTTCTTCCAACTCGTATCCATACACATATACACGCCACACGTTTCATTTACTGCGCTATTATCACTTCCAGTTTTATCAGGGTGGTCTTACCAAGAGGCCTATGATTCTCGACATTGAGAAATGTTCTCAGGGAGCCAACGAGACTTTGCTAAATCGGCGAACAGCGAGATATAATAATCGCTTATACAATGCGTGAATAAGGGCTTGAAGCGTAGAGTCGAAACGAACGGGAGAGTCACGACGGAGAGGATTTGTATTACCGCTCGCGGACTGTAGAGACTCTCATCGCACAGTCTCTTGTTAGATATAAAGTATTCTCAGGAGCGCTCTGTAACCCTCTAATCCGCGTACAGGGTAACAGATCCGGTTAGTCGTGAACAGTGAAAATGAATTGTCGAACACCCTATCCCTTCTTTCCTTCAATAAAAATCTGCATGTGAACAAGATTTGTTTCCTAGGATGGGATTCTGCGTTCATTCAATCGGAAATTGCCAACCATTTCCAGGACATTGTTGCTGGAAAGCTCTTTTCTTTTCCTTCAGTCGTACACTTCGCTAAAAGCGGACCATTTCCTATCTTCAGAAGTCAAACAGCGACGCTTTGGAAATTGTTGGTACTCTAGGCGCCGTAGCCTCGGTTGGCAATTTGTGAGGACCATTCTTGTTGGATACTGTCATATCATAAGCATATCGCTTGAATTGCGCGGGGAAATTATACATACCAGGAGCGCCACTCTTGCTTCCGACTGCTTCTTTAACGCCAGTGTCCACTTGTTCTGGAACCTTTGGAGTCATACACCTCTCGCGGAATGTCTTCTCGTCCATAATCACAGCGTCGCACGGTACATCTGTGGGTGGTAAGTGTTATGATACCGACAAGTGACACAAATGACTTACGGTCTGGTTTGCTGTCAAAGTCGCATGAATATACACAAGTTGGAGGCAACGAGACCCACTGCTCCGCTTGATGCAGATACACCCAGACGACTCGGGGCGGGCAGCCATCCCACCAATAGCTGCTTCAGTCGTACCCGCGTGGATCTGCCATCTCCAGGATCGAACGAGGGCTGGAGAAGCAAGAGTTTGGGAAACAAGAATACTAGAACGAAATTCCTGTAGAGTGTGATGGAAGAGAGGTGAGTGGCGTCGAATGGCTATTTCGCAAGGAGCAGCACGTGAGTGCAGTTCGTTTGACACCACGAACTAAACCAAATTGAGAATCGACATTCACCTTGACGAGTAGGCGCAGGGCTAGTTCTGCCTAGAAAGTGGGGCTGTATTGTCTCACTGTACTCCATATCTGCCCGCGTCCTATCACTTGGCAGTCCGTCACCTCTACACTTACTTCTTATCCGCATCCCAACACGCGACATATAAGCAAACATATTAAATCCTTCTCCTTACGAACAAGAACTACATCAAGGCAACATGCTCCCCCCGTCCAAGGAAGAGGCCGAGCGTTTGTTCCAAAAGGGAGAGCAAGTCACGGAGCAAAGCAAAAGATGTAGCAAAGATCGAAAAGTGCAAGGAAGAAGTCTTAGACCTTCAGATGAAGCTCGAAACCATTACTGCAGATGAATCAGACCCTCTATTGGACGAGCTCATGAAAATGATTACGGAGTTGTATCATCTTCTGCATGGCCTCTATCCAACTACCCGCGAGGATATTGGCAGTATCAGGGAGTGGTTGCAGAACATAGCCAACTTTGCCAGGAACGTATATCGTGCAGTACTCTAGGCCGCTGAAGAAGAGGAGCAGGAGGAACTGGAAACCACGGTACCTACTCAAAACACTTCTCCCTTCGCTATAATCGCTAACAAGATTCAGATTGACTCAAATACTATGGAATTCAGTGGTCTTCCGGCCAACGACGCCGATGCTCAGGTCCCAGCCTCAGATGGTAAGGCGGATGATTCAAGCCACGGCCTCGCCGGTCACGCTGCCACGGACTTCTATCTCGATGCTATGACTGAACCCAAGGACGAGTTCACCTCAACCTCTAGGTCTAGCTGGGGCGATAAGACTGGTTGACTGAACTGGAGCTTGCTGCACAGTGGGTACAGAGAGGAATATGGGAGTGAACAAATTGAATATAAATTTGCAGGTTTCAAGTAGCTCGAAACCAAACGGATATTTCTTCAGTATATTTGCATGTCATGAGACGTGCTACTTCTTGCTATTCGCACGTCAACATCTTTGTGTCGAACAAAACCACAACACCATCACGCCAGGCGTAGATCATTGAAAGTCCCGCGCTTGTCAACCAACGGTAAACAGAGAAGAGAATTACTTGAATATGAAAATTGGCCATGACGTGCATATCCAAGTAACATACTATATAACAATAACGCCTTTGAGAAAGTCTCAGCCTAGACCTTGAAGTAAACCTTTAGTCCAAGACCTCCCACTACTATAACTACTTCTGCTTAGCAAGAATAGAATCTACAGCGCCCTTTGCCAAGTCCCTTAGTGTACTCTGCATCAGCTCAAGAATACTAATCTCATACCCAAGTTGCTGCTTGGTCCAATTCCTCAGTTCAATGCCTACCAAACTATCCAATCCAATAGAGCTCAGTGACTCATCAATGTCCATGTCATCAACAGCCCGCATCAGGAATCCGAACAGTGTCTTGCCGATTTCCTTGGCTACATATTCAACGCTTTCATCGGATGCAGAACTCAGGCCGGATATGTAGGCCTTCAGATTGGATGATGTAGAGGACACGGAACTATTCTCCACATCAAGCGTTCGTGAGATGGCGAAACGGCGATCGTACTTCCAGATCACGCGATTGTTGGGGTCGTACATTGAGAGAGTAGCGCGGACGCCTGGAGCAAACTGGCCCTGGTTCGAGAAGCCATCGCCCTTCCAAGTCAAAGCAGGGCTTGAGCGGGAGATGGCAAGCCTCACGATATCGAAGATATCCTTCTCAGTCAATGTGGTGGTTGACTGTGATTTGAAGTAATCGAGCAAGTTTTCGGTCGAGGCGACGAACCCAACGTCCTCCATGACACCCAAGTCGATGACGGAAGCGGGAAGCCCAAGACTGTGGCGATACTGCGTGAAAGCGTCGAGGAAGGCGTTTGCTGCTGCGTAATTTGCCTGGCCAATTTGACCCATCAAGCCGCTTATCGAAGAGAACATGACGAAGAAATCAACGTCAGGTATTGCGTGGTGTAGGTTCCACGTGCCGGTGACTTTGGGCTCAGTGGCTGCCTTCCATGCATCCCAGGTCATTGATCCAATGGCTTGATCTTTCAGCACCATGGCAAGCTGGATGACACCACGGATAGGCTTTGTAGCTGTCTTAGCCGCATGCTTGACCAAGTCGAGATCCGCAGCCGATCCTGCCAATACCTGCACAGAGCATCCGAGAACCTCAAGCTCTTGGAGGAAGTGCTCATTCTTTGATGACCTCCCGGAACGCGAGATGAATATGAGGTGTTTGGCTCCATTGAGAACGAGCGACAGAGCGATGGAGCGACCAATACCTCCCAGACCACCAACCAGCAGATATGAGTAATCTGGATGGACGTCGAGTTTGGGATGTTGTTTCTTGCAGGTGATGTCCTTGAACACTTTGGGATCTTCAGGCATAGTAACCGTGATCTTGCCTATGTGTGTGCCCTTTTGCATGTAACGGAATGCCTCTGCAATCTCTGTTACGCCAAAGTTCTTGATTGGCTGGATCGGTTGAATATGTCCTGCGGACCTCAACTCAGCTATCTCGCGAAGGAGTCTTCCACACAAATCTGGCCGCGAATCCTGGATATGGTGAGCATCCAAGCCGATGAAGCTGCGGTTGTCTGTGAAGCCGATGAGGTCTATTTTCCCGTGCCCGTAGAAGTCGCGCTTTCCGATTTCAATCATCGCACCAAAGCCGCCAATGCACTGCCAGGTTTCGTGTAAAATTTCACCAGCGAGAGAATTGAGAGCAATGTCGACACCACGTCCGTTGGTAGCTGCAAGGATTTCTGTGCGGAAGGCGTTGCTGTGAGAGTCGAAGATTTGCTCACGTGGAATCCCAAAGTTGTTGACAAGGAACTCGACCTTTTCCTCAGTGCCAACTGTTGCGAAGATCTAGGAAGAGTTAGAAAGATTAAAAGAAAGGCGCGCAGAGTCATTACCTTGGCACCAATCATCTTGGCGATGTTGATGGCTGAGATACCTACACCTCCAGCAGCAGAGTGAATCAGGATCGTCTATACCATGTTAGCGAGTTTTCCGATCTCTGCTCTAGCAAAAATACTTACGTCACCCTTATTTAATCGGCGAGCATGTCGCAAAGCAAATATCACCGTCAGATAGGTAGTAGGCATCGTAGCCGCCTCAACCATGGTCAAATTATCTGGGACTTTAGCGAAGAGCACGGCTTTGTTGAGTACGCGGTTCGAGTAGCTTTGAGGAACCATGCCAAAGACGCGATCGCCAACTTTGAATTCTGTAACTTCTGAACCAACTTCAGTCACGATGGCAGAACATTCTCCTCCAAGATCGCTACTATCAATGAGGCCTTGCGTTTGGACGATATCCTGGATATTTTAGTGAGTGTATTGATAAAGAGATGTTTCGGACTTACCCTAAAGTTCACGCCCACGGTATGCGGACGAACAGCGATTTCGTCGGGCCCACATGGTCGACTGACAGCTACATTGTCCTCCCAGCGCAAGCCATTGATGGAGCCCTTCTGGCCGATACAGAGATGCTTGTTCTCGATCTCTTCGGCAGCTTTCTCAAGTTCATCCTTAACGGAGATCCAATGATACCTCGGCAGATGAATAACTCCGTTTTTGATAGCAAATTCAAAGTCAGGCTCCATATCATCGTCAGGCGGTGGGCTGTTAATCTTTTCATAGACCTGAACGACCCTCTGTGAGCTGCTAGGGGCGTTTACTTCATCGATCTCAAGGGTTGTAATGCTGATCTTCTTCTCTGAGCGGAGAGTACGCACGAAGCCAAGAGACATGGCAAAACCAGGCTCCGTTGCGCCCATGGATGCTGTTTGCGTAATCCAGAGCCAATTTTCAGCGCCCATTCTGCCGACCATCTCAATCCAGTACTCGAAATCGGACTGTTTTATGTCGTGGAAGAAAGGTGAATCAAGCTCTAAAAAGGAAACGACATCCTGATTGACGGGGAGAGGGCTTCCAAAGGGTACTGGCTGAACCGAGTGACCATTGGCCTCGAAAGTGGCCCGGTACGACTCTAACCGTGCATCGAAATCTCCACGATACAAAAAGGAAACACTTTTCCTGGCGGGCGTCGGTTGGACAAGTGAAGAGATCATGGTGGCGGATATTTGGAATGGCGGCGTGGTATCGTACCATTTCGCGTCCACACCAGTGAAGCCAGCGGCCTTGAGCTCAAGATTCCATCTGTCTGGAGTCATGTATGGCTCATCCACGCGACCATCTTCCTCACCAAGCCACCAACCAGAGAAACCAGCCATGATGAAGTTGACCCACTTGGCGGGCATATCCATCTCCTGGAGCATCAGTCGGCCGCCAGGGTGTAGCAGCTTCTTCACCCGCGCCAGAGTTTCTTGAATCGAAGGCGTCGCATGAAGAACATTTGCTGCGATGATGAGGTCGTACGAGCCTTCTTCAAACCCTTGTGTCAGCGGGTCCTTACTGATGTCAAGGACTGAATACTCAATGCCCTGGTATTCCTTGAAATGCTCTTTCGCGGCGACAAAGAACCCAGCTGAGATATCTGTATAGTCGTATCTGGAATACAAACGCTCTCCAAATTCGGAAATGAGTCCTTGAAGCAAGTTCGTGGTGGTACCTCCAGTACCAGCTCCGATCTCAAGAATCTTCATCGTTGGTTTACAATGACCAAGGACCTCTAAAAGAGGAGCATAGTCCCAGCACAAGTTGAAAAAGGCATAGATCTGCATCAAGATGTTATCCTCCATGAGGTAGACAATGTTCTCTGCAGTGCCTTCAAGAAGGGCCTTTGCATTCTCATGGACTCGTCGAATTGCCGTTTCCATAGCGGGCGTCAACTTAGATGCTGCAAGCTCCTGTTGCAGCTCACGAACCAAGGCATTGCGCTTGTCTTCAGAAAGAGAAGCTAGTTGAGGGCCCTCGGGGAGGATAACGTGATCACCTCGAGATACCTTGTCAACATACGATTTGAGCCATGTTCGGAACTTCTTTCCATGAGGTAGTTTGACTTCCTCAACGCTGTCCATAATCTTGACAGTATCAATCGCACGGAGGAAGAAATACTTCTCGAGCTGGGCAGTAGGCTGTGTTATGTTGACTGGCGCGCGAACGAGATCCTCAAGATCCAAGAAATCAACATCAGGCTTCCAAACGACCTGAACAGTGTTCTTTAGCTCCTCTTTTTGCTCTTCACTTTCGCCTAGAGGCGAAAATTTGAGGCCCTTCATCTCGCAAACAAGCTTGCCGTCAGCTGTGCCTAGTGAACTACCACACCAGGATCCCATCAAGTCTTGCCAAGCCTTAGTCGTCACTCTGATCTCCTTCATACCTCCGGAGATATAGAGTTCCCCAATATATGTAGGCATACTAAGTTGGTTGAACAGTGACGGGTTGCCTTGGTACATGGAGACAGTCATTGGCTGGAGCAGATTGTCCAATATGCGTGGATGCACTTCGTAGAAGGACCCGGTTTCATCCGAAAAGTTGTCAACAGTGCACACTGCTTCGTGTGCGATCGGATTCGCTGAGATGTCTCGCATGTTTCTGAAGGCAGGACCGTACGTGAATCCAATTCTTTCCATAATCCGGTACCAACCATCGGCTGAGACCTTTCTCAGATAGTCAGGCTGAGGTTCCGGCCGCATATTCGGACGACCTGGGCCTGCTTTTGCCTGCCCTGAGCAGTGCTCACTCCAGGTGGAGCCGTTGAATGAAGTGATACGGAAGTCCCACCAGTCCGTATCGATGGTCGTGGTGATTTTTGAGCGCTTGAAAGTGGTGACGACATCGACGGGCCGGGTGTCATTGACGATCATAGCACTACGAATCGAAAATTCACGAAGAGAGTAATCAGAGCGTCCTGAAAGCTGTCTGATAGCTTCACCTGCCATGGAAACGTATCCAACAGCAGGAAATACGGTATCAGAGCCAATGACATGGTCGCGTATCCAAGGCACGTCGCCAAGACGCAAGACTTTTCTCCAGGTAGGCATAAGGTGACTACTTCCGGGCAACCGTACACCGAGTGTTTCATGTGGAAGGAAGCTCCGGCTCTTCCACTCACTGCACATGCGGCTTTCAGCCCAGAACTTGACCGAATGGTCCCAGGAGTAGGTCGGAAGATCAGTCAACACTGAGCCGGTAGGGTATAGGGCGTTCAGATCGACATTGATGTTGTTTCTCCAAAGATTTCCGACAGCATTATACACGGACTCGGTATCATCCTGACCGCGCGCCAAACTAGAGACGTAGGACAAGTTCGCATTGTCGGCGGCGAAGATTTGACGAAGAGGCCCAGCAAGGGCTGAATGGGGCCCAATCTCGAGGAAAACTGGGTTTTCCAGGTCAGACTTAATGATGTTGCGGACTGCTGTGCTGAACAACACTGGGTTCTCAAGGTTGCTTCGCCAGTATGACGGGGTGAATGTGTTTGCCGAATTGATGACCTCACCAGTAACTGATGAGAAGAAGGGAATGTCGGGTTGATTGGTTGCCGAAACATCTGAAAGGGCCTTTTCATATTCATCGCCAAAGACTTGCATGTGATCTAGGTTGGTTAGCAGTGTTGATTATATGAACAATGCTGGGGTTTACTTACGAGAATGATAGGCATTGTCGACTTGCAGAGGGCGCACAAAGACATCAGGTGATTCCTCGCGAAGGTTGGCGATGAATTCCTCAACTGCATTGCGGTCGCCAGAAATTGTAGTTGAACTTGGACTGTTCTCACACGCAACCACTACTCCTGGCTTTAAAAGCTTTCGGACCTGATCCGGACCAAGTCCTACAGCGGCCATTGCTCCCTCAGCCAGCTTTTTGCTAGTGATCAGGCCTCTGAAGTAAGCTGCGAGGACTGCTTCCTTCTTTGTAAGTCCATTCGTCGCATATGCTGCGGCGATCTCTCCGCTTGAATGGCCGACGACAGCATCGGGCTTGACGTTCCACGTACGGAAGAGGTCGACCAGAGCGATTTGGATGACAGTGCACAATGGCTGAGAAAATTCCGCTTTTGAGATCTGGCTTCGCATTTTTGACTTGCTCAGTTCCTCTGCGCAAATCTTGTTAGCAGTTTTTTCATTCGATGAGCAGAGTTTCCATACCGAGTATGTTCCACGATGGCGGGGTGTGGCATTCTTGCAAGATTTTGTTCATCTCCTGTATATTTTCTTTGACGGAAGGAAAGTCTTCTATCAAGTCCTTTCCCATCTCCGCCCACTGAGCGCCCTGACCAGTGAATACAAAAACAGTGGATCGATTAGTCATTTTGGTTCTCAAGGATGGTAGAGCCACAAGGGGCTCTTCGCCGTCGGAAACGCAGAAGGTGCGGTGCTCATGGTGCTCCCTCCGCGTACCGAGTGTATACGCAATATCGCCCAGTCGCGATGAGCCGTGTTTCTGAATATATTCTGCGTGCTTATCAATTGATTTTTGAAGAGAGAGGTCACTCTTCGCAGTGAACAGAAGCAGGGAAAGCCTCGGCTTTTGCTCGGCGGATAGCAACTTCGGTCTATTCACTCCATGAGCAGCTGCTGATTCCAAGATAACCTAAGCCTCTCATTAGCCCAATAATCACTAGTGAGGTAAATTTTAGGAAGATATACGTGTGCATTCATCCCGCCAATACCGAAAGAGTTTACTGATGCTCTCTCTAGACGATCCGATGGCCACTTCATGCATTCAGTAGGGACCTTGAGGTTTGCTTCTTTCCAAGGAACTAGAATTTCTCAATCAGCATATACTTTAATGAAGGGCTTGATCTCATACTCTTCGGATTAGGTGTTTCAAAGTTTACGTTTGGTGGGATGATCTGGTGCTCCATTGATAAGATGGCCTTGATGACTGACGTGTTTCCACTCGCGCCTTCCGAGTGCCCAATGTTGGATTTGACCTACAGACTTCAGTATTTTCTTTGGGGGAGGAGTATTTGGTCACTTACTGATCCAATTATCATGCCATCCTTGCCGAAAACTCGAGCCACAGCGCCGACCTCAATTGGGTCACCGACGGCAGTGCCCGTTCCGTGGCACTCAAAAAATCCGGTTTTGTTGAAATCTTCCTCTGGAATTCCTGCAGCACGGTATGCGTGCCTAATCAGAGCCTCGTGAGCGACCGTATTGGGTTGGGTGATTCCCGGTGTTTTGCCGTCGTCGTTGCAAACAGTTGACCGGATGATCGCGCGGATGGGATTCCCGTCCCTCAGAGCGTCGTCCAAACGCTTCACAAGGAGGGAAGATACAGCCTCTCCTCTTCCATAGCCGGTTGCCTTTGCATCAAATGAGCGGCACCGTCCGTCCGCAGAATTAACTCCCTGCGCGGCCAGCGCGCAGGATAGAGCAGGGCTCATGATGAGGTTGGCACCTCCAACGATTGCAGCCTCACAATCTCCAGCATTCAGTGCCTTGACTGCCTGATCAAGACATACCAATGATGCAGAGCATCCTGTCTTAATTGTCATACTACTCTTTGTTAGCTATCGTCGGACGTACGAGGATATCCGGTATGTACCTAGGCCCAGTCCAATCGAATTCATGCGAAACACGGTTACCTGGAACTTAGTTAGCTTGGACTCAGAAGGATTTTGGGGACACAACATACTTCCAAAGAGATCCAAGTGGCCTGTGAGAGATAGGAATTCATGAGGTTCTGAATCCTTCGATTGCATTTCGACATAATCGTCGGCAAACATGCCCACGTAAACACCTACCTTCTTGCCTCTAAAGTTACTCTCTCCAGCATTCTCAAGTGCCTCGTATGTAGTCTCCAACAGGATCCTATGTTGTGGGTCGACCTTGGCAATCTGTGCCGCTGACATTGAAAAAAAGCTTCCATCGAAGTCTGCTGGATCAATGCTTCCCAGAAAGTTCCCCTTATTGGCCTTTGTGGTGCCAGGCCGCCCGTGTGGATCGCAGAAGCCTTCGCTGTTCCATCGACTTGACGGAATATCGATCATTCCTTCACGCTGGTTGATAAGTAAGTCCCAGAAAGCCTCGCTATTATGACAATTTCCTGGTAACCGCATTCCCATCCCGACTATAGCTATCGGCATGGGTATATGTGATGATTTGCTTGTGGGAGTTGAAAATCTGATCTGTAAGCGAAGTACCCAAGCAGGGGATGTGTCTTACCCATCAGGAGAACTATTTGCATCGCTTCCAGTAACACGAACATACCCATCTTGAAGATTGTCAGGTGTGCTAGGGTTCTCCATTATGAGCAATGTAGGAGATGTGATTGATGAAACTAAATTGTGAAGGCAAGATGTTGAAATGAACTTGTTTGCAATTCAAAGATCAAGTATTGTATGCCTCTTATAAGCCCTCTAACTCTCAACACACGGCCGTGTACCTACGATTGACCCCCACATCAACCAACAGCCGAGTGACTGCGGTTCCCCGCATGAACGGATTACCAGTGTTGGGGGCCGTGAGATTCGGCGCAAACAGGGTGTGCACGCTCCTACGCACGACTATCTTCAGCTTTGTGTGAATTGCCGTCATGTTGCCTAGCGCTTACTTAGCCATTTGATAGGTTACTGTACTTGGACTCTAGGACTAGTAGCTACTAACTACTGACTATACGCACGGGCTTCGGACTCGCACCAGGATATCGAAGGATCTGCGAGTAAGTCAGCTCGTGAAACAGGGTGCGGAGGGGGCCGTCAAAAGTGCATGCATACGCTAGAGTTCCTTGGCACCTTGGATCAATAGACAGCTTTTGCGTACGCATCTCGGCGCTGGGTATGCCAAGGAATGCACTAGTAAGCTTGAGAAACAGACCATAGAGGCAGTTATCATTAATGCCTAGCATAGTTAGACGGTAGTCTTGAAGTAGCAGCTGACCATTCCAATTAATCATGAAAATTATAGATAAAGCGTATAGAGGGCTGAATGCAATCTCCGTTCTCAGGAAATGTGCGCGGGAGTAGGATTCCAGACATGCTGCAGGATGATTTTGCATTGCCGAGGGACAGTACCATTTTCCAGTTTGGTTGGTTGCACGGCAGCTCCCTTGCATACAGCCCTCGCTTATCCAACAGGTTCATGTAAATTATGCGTTTTCAATTTACAGGGGTTTCGTAATTGCCTCGGCGCAAGTAGAACAATGAGCTGCTGCGCCCTTTGCCTCGCCCGCTAGTAGATGTCTTGGATTTCCTCAACTTTTTCTCTTCGGACCAAATCAGCCTAGAGTCGCAGTAGCCGTCGGGTCTGCTTTTGTTTCAATCAAATCATCATGATGGACACTAAATCTGTATCGAATTTACCTCATCCGGAAGTAGAAGTAGCAGGCTTGGATTGGGACGACGTAAGCAATGTTGACAATCCCCAAAACTGGCCAACATGGAAGAAAATTCTCCACAGCGCAATCCCAGCTGTGTACGGCCTTGCGCTGTATGTTTTTACATACTGTCTCCTAGGAGCAGACTGACAGTCTCTTGTAGCACCATGGGGACTTCGACATACGTTGCAGGCGTGTTACTTGTCATGAAACAATTCGACATAAGCAGAACTGTCGCACTACTCCCTATTGTCGTTTACACCATTGGATTTTCTCTTGGCCCACTCGTCGCCGCTCCTATATCCGAAATTTATGGTCGCCTTATTGTATATCGATTCTGCCTCCCGATGCTGATGGTGTTCAACATCATCGCAGCTGCGTCTAATAATTTGACTGTACTCATCGTCTTTCGCTTCCTCGCAGGCTTTGGTGGGTCGGGTGTGCTGGCTGTGGGTGCAGGTACTGTTGCGGATATATGGAGTCAAAGGCAGGCCGGCTTGGTCGCGTTGACGTACATCCTCGCTCCCTTTCTTGGACCTACTCTTGGGCCTCTTATTGGTGCGTACATTATTGACCAATATGATAATGACTGGAAATGGTCTATTTGGGTCATTCCGATCCTGTGCGCACCAATAGCTGCCTCTCTGTTATTCATGCAAGAGACCTCCAAGAGTAGGATCATCTATCTCAAGTCCAGCAAAACAGTACAAGCTACCCAGGAAGTACCCATCACACAAAGAATCGGTCTCGCCATGTTGCGCCCGCTACACATGATCTTGTTGGAGGTATGTCAACTCGATTCCCATCAGCCTTTCAGCAATCTAACATGAGAAAAAAGCCGCTCGCCTTTTTTCTCAGTCTTTATACTGGTTTCAACTTCGCCATGATCTTTTCATTCTTTGGCTCTTATTCCTACGTATACAGTAGGGTCTATGGATTCAACCTGAAAGAAATTGGGTTGACGTACATCGGACTCATTGTCGGATATCTTCTCGCTCTTGTTACGGTTGGATATTTTGATCGCAAAAAATACCAGCCAGAATCCCAGAAAACTAATGGACGAGTTGCACCAGAGCATCGCCTCTATGCAGCCATGTTTGGTAGCTTTCTTCTACCTGTGGGACTTTTTGTAAGTGAACATGGGCGTTGCCCATTCCCTGCATCTTAGTTGTGACTATCACTGATACAAGTATGAATCTCTAGTGGTTTGCATGGACACCACGTGAATCAGTTCATTGGATTGTCCCGGTATTAGCTGGCGTACCTTTTGGCTGGGGAACGCTAGCCGTCTTCCTTGCATCTGTGACCTACCTCATGGATACATATCAAGCGACGAATGGTGCTTCAGCTATAGCTGCTAATGGATTTCTGCGGTTCATCTTGGGAGCCATATTTCCTCTTTTTACAATCCAGATGTATGAAAATTTGGGTATTCATTGGGCAGGAAGCATCTTTGCATTCATCAGTCTCGCATTGATTCCGGTGCCTTGGGTTTTCTTTTGGAAAGGAAAGGATCTTAGAAAAAGAAGCTCTTACGAAACCTGCAGTTATTGAAGAGGAGGATAGTATAGGAGCCTTCGCTATGGTACTCTGAAACAAGGCATACAAGACCAACTCATGGGGATCTATATAGTCCCCTTCACGCTAGGGAAACATTGGCTATGTGTGTAAAATACATAGTCCTATCCGAACCCGGGGTAACTCCAAGTTTATGCATAGGTCACAAGTAGGCATTGAAGGAGACTTAGCCTTTCTTATCGTCAATTGATATCATAAGAGCTCACAAGCATTGGCCAATTTTAGGTACTTTGTCTCTGTAATTTACTCCTTTAATAAAAACTATGTAGGAAGTGTGATCAAGAAAGCGAAAAGCAACGCATGATGAAGAGGCACTATCCTCACATTTACACACTGTGTCTCATCATCATATACTGCGTTATCTCTAACAAATGTTGCATTTCTTCTACGAAAAACCATTCCTGTTCTTCACTGAGAATCTCAAGAAAGGACATGTACTTATATCTTTTGGTTTACAAGAAGAATGTCCCCATGCCTATGCACAGTCATAACTCCAGAGTTCCTCAAACAATCACCGTCCAATCTTTCTTGTTCACAAATCTAAACCACCATAAACTGTAACTATCTAATGCATCAAGTCAGCAAAAGTGACACACGTTGAATGTATTACTCACTCCACGGGTACATCGTATGATTCCATCCTTTTTTAGTCACGTAGTAAGTATTGCAAGCCGAACCCCAAACGCCTTTACGACAAGCCTCTTGCACCTTGTTCACATATTTGCTCTCCGCTTCAGCCGTCACCTCGACTTGAGTCACCTTTCCCTGAATAAGTGGCGTTATAACATTCAAAATCAGCTCGACGGTAGCTTCGATGTACCAAATCACTGAGTTGTGACTATGAGAATCAGTTAGTTGATATTTTGATGGACAAACTCTCAAGTTGTGATTACCCAGATGCCATATTTGGGCCCCGAATTGTGAAAAAGTTGGGGAAGTTGTGCATCGCGATGCCTTTGTAACAGCTAGGGCCACCAGCAACAGCCCAGTGCTTCTCAGGTGTATTACCGTCCCGTCCTATGAGTGGAAGTTTGAAAGTCTCGGACTCAAAACCATGGGCGAGAAGTAGCATGTCGCAGGCATACTCTTTTCCAGACCTTGTAACGACTGACTTCTCGCGAAGAAATGCAATTTCATCTTGAACCAAGAGTAATTTGGGATTTTTGAGACATCCCAGGTAGTCTGAAGCGAAGACAAGTCGCTTGCATCCCGGTCGATACTGAGAAGGTTAGCAGGAAGGAAACGAAAACATTAAGACAAACGAACCGAGGGTGTGAGGAGGTCATAGTACTCTTCGGGCACTTGGAACTTTCTCAGATGATTCTTGCTGATTTGCGGGATTCTATTCCCAACAACATGAAAGAAGGCCTCTGTGATCGCAAAGAGTGTAGTACGAAGTACTGTGAATAGAAAGGGCACATAGGCCAGTAGAGTCAACATCGCAGCTGGTAATGCTGGGTTCGGTCGATGCAATATCCATTGCGGCGCCTTTCATACACTCAGCATCTCTTCCCATGTCCATTCTTAGTCACTTACTCGTTGTATCTGTGTACACTCTTTGACGTCTTCCAGAATACTAGGAATTAACTGGACAGCAGTACCTATCACTGATCAGCAATTGCTATTAGCTTGGACTGACGTTTAGTTTACTCCCGTTTCCCAAAACCACCACACTCTTCCCCTTGACGTCGATGTCGCTAGTCCACAGACTTGAATGTACGATCTTCCCTTTGAATATGTCCTTTCCTTGTACGTCAAGCTGCTTGGGATCGACTAAATGGCCTGTCGCACTGATGAGTACCTTGCACATTTGAGTAAGGGTCTCGCCCGTGGCGCAATCGCGCAAAACAACTCGCCAGCATCTCGTTTCTGGCATCCACACACTTCCCTCCCAGCTGATCCCAAACTTCATATGGGGAATAACATTGTATCGATCAGCAACCTTCTCCATATAGTCGTGCAGCTCATTCCAAATGGGAAATGTACGTGTGAACCTTGGCTCTGGCGCGAATGAGATTTGATACGCCGCCCCAAATACGTCTGCCGATGCCCCCGGGTCTTTCTAAGTTAACATAGTTGGCTTTGATGATGAATTTGCTATAGGAACTCACATCGATTATGATGCCATGTCCCACCCAGGCCAGCGTTTCTTTCATACATGATGAAATCGTTAAACTGGAGTTTGCGCTTCAATTGGCAAGCCATTACCAGACCGCCAAATCCGCATCCAATGATAACAACCTCCCGAAAAGGTACGGTAGAGGACGGCTTTTCCATTAGGGCAACGATATTCCTGAATACTATTGAATTTGGTTGATGTAGCGCAACAACTTCAATGACTTAAAATGCGCAACATGAATGGAGACCAATACATAGTTTTGGAGATTACCCGCCAATGTCAATTCAAGTCCTAGTTATTTACTGTATTATATCAGGTGAGCGGGATTGGTAAGAAAATGATGGCAACTGATAGGATGGGTCGCAGCTAACAACATAGGCTGCAGCCCGGCGTTTCCGAGAAGGACTCTTGCAACGAGGCGTTTCCAAAAGAATTGTCGCAGCAAGGCAATCCAACGAAGGATTGATGCGCCAAGTATTGATTAAGGCCAACCGCGCTGCATTATCCTAACTCAGAGCGATAACGATTAGCGAAACGTAGATCAATGGCCGAGCGGTCTCGTCAGATGTTGGATACGTAGCTGGACATGACTCTTCGGCAACCGAAAATCCATGTTTCAGGTACTAGGAGATACGAGGCGTCCGACTATGCTCGGGTATCTCGTATTCTCTACTACCTCGGTATCATCGAATACCTCGCATCCCCTGCAAAGAGTAACTAGTAAAAACGGACCGAATTGTGTAAGAAAGATAGCCGAGTTAGATTGCGGGGTACACCTCGTTAGCGGGGTAACGCCTTATGCATGAACGCGTGGATGTTTACCCTATCTTTCAGGCTTACTATCGTAAGCGCTCGTATCTCTGAAACACCGAAGTCAGTACTTACATTCAGCTATCAATTCCAAGCTGGGAAATACGTCAAATCAAACACGAAAACTGCGGGGAGGCGAAAGCCCTGGTATCACGACTCAGTACTACAGGATTACGTGCCATGGGGTTAGTTGATTACCTGATGAGCAGGGCTGACATGGGCAGGCTTGCCTGAAACTACGCTACGAAATACGTACTAACGTCACTTAACTCTACACTATTGCTGAAGGTAATCTTACACTACCTGGCGGATAACTTTGTACTATTCTATAGACGCGGAACTTTGTCACGATTTATGTTTGCTAAACATCTTTCAAACCAGGAATCCAAATTCTTAGAAGATCTTTAGATAGAGTATGATAGTAAAGGATTTATCTATACCATAGAGTAGAGCTACTTCTATATATAGATTCTGTCACTAGGCTTAGAACAGATACTGCTTACGTGGTATGCAATAGAATATATATATGGGTATCTAATATCAGCATCCGCTTCCCAGAGATAGCACTTCTAACATTCCATCTATACACCATCCTTGTTATACTTATACTTAGCAGCAAATGGCGATATTCTCGTCCCCATTACTTCTCGGAGCAATCATTGTTACTGCTCTTGTTACTTTTAGATCTTATCGAGTCAATGCTGATGCAAGGCGAAGATATGCTCTTCTTGGTGCTGGACCACCCGAGCGTGTGCCCACTAACACGTTTGGTTAGGATTTCAGTTCATATAATTCAAGAGATGACTAACTTGTAGCAGGTCTAGGAATTGCAATTCAGATCTTGCGCGCTCTGAGGAAACACGAATTTTGGCATTGGACAAAAGATGTTTTGGATACCCACAATCATACAGTTGACGTGAAGATGTTTGGGAACAGCATGTACCTGACCGATGATCCTGAGAACATCAAGTACATCCAAGATACCAAGGTGCGCACTCGCAAGTGAAATTACAGCTCACCGGCTGACAGATCACTAGTTTACTCGGTTTGCGAAGTCGAAAGCTCAACATGAAATCTTTAAACACATTCTCGGTGACGCAGTATTCTCAAGTATGACACACCAAACTGTACAGCTGTGAACGCTAATTGCTTTTAAGTGGATGGTGAAGAGTGGAAGCAAGAAATCAGCTTTCTTAAAACACACGTGAGTCGCGCGATGCTTCTCTAGATCGTTTCTCACAGCTGCAGATGAGTCGAATTCGAGATACCGACTTCGAGATCACCGAGAAACATCTGAAGCATGTAATCGATCTTCTTGCCACCCCTGGAACGGACGCATTCGACGCAATCGATCGCTGGCAATTGGATGTCGTGACGCATGTATTTTGCGGACAGTCGACCGATTCATTAACTTCTAATCAGCAACCTTTTCGTGATGCAATGGACGTGCTCCTTGGAATCAATAGCTTCAGGCAAATTATGGGGTTCGTACAGGTTTATCTGTGGTGCATTTTCCATGCTGAACTTCTGTCTAGTCCTGTCGGTGTCTATCTTCGAGATGACTGGCTTGCGCCGCGAGCCACACGTGAGATCGATCGATACTTGGACCAATTCGTCGACAAAGCCAGCGCTAGGAAATATAGTGGCGACCAACCTTGCCTGATTGACGATCTCCTCCGAAAGGGAAAAGGGCGTGGTAATATCAAAAACGCAGTTATATCGACACTACTTGCCGGCAAAGATCCTTCAACCACAACACTCGCATGGGCTTACTACGAAATTGCACGACATCCACATGTGTTTGCGAAAATGAAGGCCGAAGTCAGAGAACAGTAAGAAACCAAGATACTTCACGTCCATTGCACCCCGGCCTTGTTAACATTCTGCAGTGTTGGAGATCGTCTGCCAACTCTAACCGACCTTCACAAAATGAAGTATATACGCAATGTCATCAAAGAAACACTACGCGTCCACCATCCTTGTAAGTTGAAAACTCCCGAGGCTATCAAGACGCTAATTGGTTAGTGGGAATAAATACTCGCGTGCCTGTTGAAGACATAACTTTACCACGGGGTGGAGGTCCCGATGGTAAATCACCAGTGGCTATCTTGGAGGGAACGCAGATTGGTCAGTAGGTTTATGACTCAGCAAACTATTTCTGACATGTTCCTAGTATACGGCCTCTTGTCATTGCAGCATCGAGCTGATCTCGGAGTAAAGGACGTTAGTCAATGGATACCTGAAAGATGGGGTATGTTGATCCTTGTCTTGCTCCAAACCCAACATTATTAGAGAATCTAGTTACTAATTTAGAATAGAGTCATGGAAGCCCAGTAGCCAGTGGGAGTACATTCCTTTCAACCACGGCCCCAGAATCTGCCCTGGACAACAATTTGCAAACTTTCAGATGGAGTATTTCTTTGCTCGACTATGTCAAGAGTTTGAGACCATCACACTTACACCTAAATCTATGCCCCAGGAAGGCAAGGTCAAGATTGAGTTGAATACTAAATTGGCCTATCCGATCTTTGCGGATGCAAAAAGGCGGACAAAGTCTTAAGTGAGTACAAGTGCACGTATTGCACTCTGTATTGTATACCTAAATAGCTCTCCAATATCTCTTCTCTCGTTACAGATTTGACCAGTCATATAAGCTTACGGACAGGCAAATCCGTGAAGATCACATATGCGTGTTGTCCTCATATGAGAGGTAGCGCTTACTCAAGTCTTGTTCTTTCAGTTAAACCTCGGCACATGTGACGCTTCTGACTAGCGTCTCTCTTTTATGCACGGACCTAAATGTCATGTTTTAAATCGAACCAATTCAGCCGTATCATTGATAGGGCAACCAACGGTATTAATAACGTGGCAAAGGCCTGTGTGTGCAAACACTTAAACCTACAGCTCAATCGCATGCCTTGCAAGAGTTCGTACGCTACTGTCATTCTGAAACAGTCATAGAAACGAATTTCATAATGCAGCATATCTCCCACCCGTACGGACTCGATTTTGTACAGCTCTCGCCGAGTGTTTTCTACCGAGAACCGCCAAAAGACGCCAGACCAACTTGGAGAGCGATTTCAAAGGATCCTCATCTGATTGTCGTTGCCACATGGCTCAATGCCTCCCCAACGCAGGTTCACGCTTATTTGTCTAGCTACAAATCCATTTTCCCAACATCTGGCCTACTGCTCATTGCAACAACTACGAAGCATTTCCTTTTCCAGCCGACTGCCCAACGCGTACGCGAACTCGAGCCTGCTCTGAGAATTTTCAAAAACACACAAGTTCAAGAAGAAGTTTTGCTCCATATTTTCTCGAGCGGCGGTACTTGTGCCATTTACCAACTTGCATCTGCGTACAGAGACCAGACATCCCACCCTATTCCGGTATCTAAGATTGTTTTTGACAGCTGCCCGGGCGTTACGTCATACAGCTCTACGGTGGCTGCTTTTTGCGCTTCTCTTCCAAAGAATCCTGTCCTATGGACCATCGGAAACGTGTTCTACCGCATTGTCTTCGGTATCGGGTTGATTGCAGAAACATTCACTAATTGGAAGAACATTGTTAGATGGGCGTACGAAGGACTGAACGAGAAAGCACTGTTTCCTGATTCCGCTGCTCGACTTTATTTGTACAGTTTGGCAGATGAGTTAGTTCCTTGGAAGAGCATCGAACAGCATGCTGATGAAGCACGCAGCATGTGTCAAAAGGTTTGGAGAGTGAGATATACGAGCACGGCTCATGTCTACCATATGTTTCAGGATCGAAGGAAATATTGGGATGCCGTGATAGGTATATGGGATTCAGATTATTTGTCGGCTCCAGGGAGAATTCGTGTGGCGTTTTAGTGAGATTCATATCTAGCTTCCTCGTGGAGTCTACGAATTCAAGAAGCAGTATCATTCTTCTACATGACAACCTCATAACTAGTTTTGCAAAGATGTGAATCTCAATCTTCAGCGAGAAGATCGCATGCCCGCTTTATCATGTCGGTAGTCTCTTGGACCTGGAATAGGTTAGCAATGACTCTCAAATGCGATGCATTCAAACATACAGATGTCTCATCGAATAACCCAAAGTGATGTACCGGAGTGTCCCATATAGCGGCAATAAATTGATGAGGGAAGAAATTCCATCCATTCTTCTGGTCCTTGTACTGATCAACCATGCACCTCACACCCTCTGAGGTTTCTTCGACGATCAGCTTATTCGCGTGAATCAAGACGGCAGGAGCAGGCTCTTCACTCTCGACATCGCCGAGTTGGTCAATGTCGCCTTTCCAGTTTCTGAGAACCCATTCGTCGCAGTCTTCCTTGGACCAATCCATGCAGCGGAGCATGCTCTCCTTCAGATCAGATGGAACATTGTTGAGCACGAGATCGATCGAGACGTCCGCATGGACGGCCTCCGGAGGACCCCAGTATGGGTATATTGTATCTATCAATACTATGCCCTTCACACTCAATTTCGAGCGTCGATTACGAGCTAGCACACGTCCAATGTCGATACCCAACTGGCCACCAAGCGACCAACCTTGATTCATGAGCTGATGCAACACTACTAGAGGCTTTGGGAATGTATACCTCCAACCAAAATCTCTCCCGATGGAACCACAGACTTAATAAGCTTGATATGTTCTTCCACCAAGCCCAAAATTCCCCCCTTCCATTTTGTTTGCGAATAAAACGATGGGTTGTGAATCGCGTAGATAGTGCGGCCGATATTTCGTAGCCTGTAACAATAGGACACTGTTCCACCAGAGTCATGTAAAAGAAAGAGTGGCGCACGGGATGGGTCTCCCTTTTGGATGAGTGCAGGGTTGGTGCGAGCTTCTACAGAAGAAGACATGCTCAGGAAAGATATGGACGTAGGCAGGTACCAGTCCTAGTACTAAACTTTCAAGATTTAAAAACAGTTGTTAATTTCAATTTCAAATTAGAGGAGACAAGGGCCAAAGATGCAAGTGATACGTATCCCAGTTCTTGGTGAACAGCTTCACCACTTTATCCGTGAGCTGAATAAGCATGTCCAGAACACCCCGGATCCTGGGGGCCAATCTTTCTGCCTTGCTGACCGGCAAGCAGGGATTGGAATATTAACTGCCGGAACGGGCCATGCAGCAGAATCATGGTTACGGGGCAATGCGATTACGGAGGCGGGGTCGGTCGGTTGCCTAAAAACTAGGGATCCCACTCCACCCGGTTATGCGCTTTCTCCACGTGTGTAAGTAATCGGCCGAATATACGGTATTAATTCGGTATAAGTACGGCAATTTACAATACTACACGTACTCTAAAGCTTACTAAGAAAGTACTCAAGAAAGTCGATTCGGAGGTACTACTGTTTTCCCCGTATGCCAAGCAATCGACACGCCAATGGCCACGTAACGACTTTGACGGACATACTGCGGGCATTCGTATTGGGCTCATTCCAGCCTTGTACCACTGTCCGCACATTTTACAGTAATCATAGTGATAAAAAGATACATAGGTCTAGGGTTCTAAAACCATTCATGGAATTCTGAATTTACAGTATCGATATGTCATATCTTCTCTACATGGGAGAATGAAACAATAGTAAAAAAGAATGCTCGAGTTAGAGTTTGCGTATTTTAGTACAAACTCTATTTGAAATTTACTTATATGAAGTGTTTCGTTATTTACTACTTCAAGAACATTGAAAGATCATACCAAAATAGAGTGGCTTTAAGCGGCACACGATGATACGATCAACTATCGAATTCCTGGAGATGCTATGGACAGACCTAACACAAGAGAAAATTTCACGTATTGTCTTTACCTCCTGCTGCTTACTATTTGGACGACTACTATGGGCCATTTATTTGTATCCATTGTACTTTAGCCCTTACCTCGCTCTCCCACAAGCCAAGGTGCGTGTATATGCTCAAAGGAAAAAAGAAGAATAAGAAATATTCGCGTATTTCGGGATTTAATTGGGTGGTATTGAGCTGACATCAGAACAGCAGCGCAAATCATGGATAGGCATCATGCTAGAGCCGCTCCAAAACGGTGACAAGGTTCTCGAATATGTTGACAACACGCCCAATCAAGGCATTTTTCGCGCACTCAACCTACTTAATAAAGAAGTGCTGGTGATAACGCGCCCGGAATTTATCAAAGAGATTCCCCAGACGAACGTGTATGACTTTCGCAAAATGGCGAATGTGCAGAATTTTATGAAGGTCCTGCTTGGTGATGGCCTACTCACTGTAGATGGCGAAGAGCACAAGGCAAGTCACTACCATATCATTGGCCTAGGAGATCCAACCGCGTTGTGCATTGATGTAAAGACGAAACTGACGTTGTTTGCAGCAACAACGCAAAGCACTAAATCCAGCATTCTCCGCTAAACATGTTCAACAACTGTATTCTGTCTTTTATTCCAAGACACGCGAGATGGTATCTTGTATCAAAGAAGAGATGGATACCTCACACGCCCAGCAAGGGATCGCTGTGGACATAACTGCGTGGGTTAACAGAGCCGCTTTGGACATCATCGGGACTGCGGCGCTCGGAATTGATTTCAATTCCCTAGCAGATCCGACCAATGAACTGAGTCGTGCTTACCAAGCCATCTTCGAGCCTGACAATACCTCGAACATTATATTCTTGCTCTCAATATTTTTCACGACGTGGACAGTCAAGCTGCTACCGCTGAAGAAGGCGCGCGAGGTTCGAGCAGGCTCTGCGTTTGTGAAGAGATATATTGAAGAAGTGATGACCCGAAAAGTCCGGGAGAATGACGATAATAAAGACACTTACAAAGATATTCTTTCAGTGGCGTCTCAGTATGGCAAGTTATCAACGAATGATCTTGTCAACCAAGCGCGGACTTTTCTGGTGGCGGGGCATGAAACCACAGCGACGGCAATGCAATGGGCGCTTTACACGTTGACCAGGCCAGAGAACCTTCAGGTCCAGCAACGCCTACGAGACGAAATCCACAAACAGCTGCCCCCTCTTGACTCGGAACAGGAAATATCAGCGTACACACTTGGCAAGAACATGCCGTACCTTGACGCTGTGAGCAAAGAGTGTCTAAGGATCTATGGGCCTTCTCCATTCTCCAGGCGAACGGCCGTAAAAGACACTGTACTCTGCGGTATTCCCATCAGGAAAGGCACAAACTTTCTTATTCCGAACTGGGCCATCAACAGGTCGAAGAAGCTTTGGGGAGAGCGTGCGAGGGAGTTCGACCCGGAAAGGTGGCTTCATGGCAACGAAGCTCCGAATGGAGGCGCTGATGCTCTGGCCTTCCAGACATTTTCATCTGGCACCAGGGGTTGCATTGGAAAAAGTAAGATTTCAACTTGCGTTTCAGAGTATTTTCAACACGAAACTAATGAAAAATGCTTCTAGGCTTCGCGTTGGCAGAGTTTAAGATAATGTTGGCTGGCCTTGTGGGCAGCTTTGAGATTGCCAAAGTAGCAGACGAGAAAGAGGTAGAAACAGAATGGGCAATCATTGCTCGGATATACAATGGGTTCAAGGTTGATCTGAAGCCAGTAAGCAACTGGTAACTTAAGTACTCAGATAACCACATAGAATATAGATGCTAAGAATGGTGTAACTGGACTGGTTTTTACTATTTCAATCACTGAATTGCCAATTGCGCAAAAGTCGAGCCTTCTCTTACGCGTTTGTTAATGCGCAAGTAGAAATATCGGGGGCCCAGGATATCTCATCTCTGCAAAGTGGGCTTTGGCAACACTGTCACTTCCGATCACTTCGCTCACATCCACCTTCATTCTATCTGGTGCAACTTGGATTGAAAAAAAGCACCCCAATCGCATCTTGTGGTATTTGAGGGCCAAACAAATTTAAGTAATTTAAAAGCAGAAACGATTGAAGTGCTATCGTTCAGTTCACTGTAGGAACAAAAGACTGCACCTCGATACAACATACACCGGACCTCGATATCGAGAGTAGTAATGGTTCCCAATTATATTTCACTAATGGGATGCCAACACAGATCGCAACCAGGAGCAAGAAGAAGCCGAAGAAGAGAGAATATTTGAAGCCAACGTCGGACAGTGTATTCAGTTTTCCGGTCAAGAATTATAGCATTGTTCAAGATAGAAATGACCTAGTGGCTAAAAACCTGCCGGCTTTCCATGCGGTTATACAAGAGTCATTCGAATTGAGAACAAGTACCCAAAGCGCCCAGGGCGAAGTGATTTATGATGATATCAGCGATGCAGTTGCAGCGTCGTTAATCAACATGGTTGCTACTCATGGCCAAGCAGACGTGCATCGCCATATTCGCCGGCTTTCGTGACCACTGATCATATGGTACTATCATCGCCACTGTTATGCGAGGCTATGCGGAGAAGAACAAAGGATATCACAATAATCGGTTCTATCACATCGCATGACGGGTATAGGAGACTGAAAGAGTTGCTTAGCATAGTGCCGACATCAAGGTGCAATTCTGTATAACGTGACGGATAAGCGAGTCGGTCAGGCAAGCGAGTCGGTCACCCTACCAACTTTGCGCACCTCTGCGGGCATATATCTCAACAACACAA